AAATAAATATTTTTAAAAGGCTGGAGAGGTAACTCAGTGTGAAGGCCCTGGGTTCAATCCTCAATTAAAAAAAAAAAATTAGAAAGAAAAGAAAAGAAAAAATAAGGTGACGGCAACAGTTTTTCCTCTTAACTTTGCTACTCACTAGATGATGCCCTTGGGTAAGCCATTCAGACTCTTGTTTTTATTTGTTTTGAGACAGGGCCTCGTTATGTAGTTAGGCTGGCCTTGAACTATGTAGGCCAGGTTGGCCTCTAACTTGGGACAATCTTCCTGCTTCAGCTTCCCAAGTGGTGGGATTACAAATGTGCACCACTATGCCCTGTCCACTCAAACTCAATGCTACCAGTGGAACATCCATGACTGTCCCATTGAATGGCTTATACCACTGGTGGTAGAATTGATACAGTCATGCATGGGATAGTCATGCATATACCATCAGTAGTTCAAGAGCCCTGGCAGCAAGACAAATTATGGCCCCATCATGAATGTGTTAAGGCCTCAGTTTCCTTACTGGTAAATAGATGGCCATGACATCTCTACCTCAGAGGGTAATTTCGGTGAGATACAAATTAGAAAGGATTTGGTACAGTGCCTGCCTTAGAGTAAGTGTAAGAAGAACACTTCCAAACCAGTGCTGCTCAAATTCAATAGCACAGAAATCACCCAGGACCTTGTTAAAATGCAGATCCCCTCCAGCAGCCAGGGGCAAGGTCTGAACCTGTCTTTCTAATATGTTCTTGTGTGATATTGATTCTGCTAGTTCATGAACCACATTCTGAGTAGCAAGATTACAGACCAGAGCCAAGACATGGGAAGCTAAGGGTTACCAGTCAGCAGCTGGGCAGGCGGGAACCTGATGAGGTCACCCCTGCTGACTCCTTATCCCTGTGAAGCTTAGGGGCCTCAGTGCTGGTCACAGGCTTTCTTGCAGCTTCCCTTACCGAGTGCCCTGGGATTACCCAGTGCTACCTGAGCCACCTGATTAGCAGGCGAACAGGTTAACTCACCCTCCCAACAACCCATGATGTGGACACTGGTACTCCCATCCCCATCTTATTTCCCCAAGAAACAAATGCTTGGAGCTAAGACAGAGTTCTCATAGGCCCCTGACAACTTAAGTACCTCTTTTTCCTCCAAGCCAAGCCTTTGGCTGGTAGGGTTTAGGAAACAAGGTTAAAGCTCTCAGTCACTGTCAACAATTGAAAGACATCACTCTCGTGCTTTCTGCTTCTCAGAAAGTAGACGGTGGTCACTAAGGACCAAAGGAAGGAAGAATGGGGAGTTATTGCTTAAGGGCTATGGAGTTTGAGTTTGAGATGATAAAAACAGTTCTGGATATAGATGGTGGTAAGGGTAATACCACAGTGGAAATGTACTTAACGCTACTGAACTATGTATTTAAAATAACTCATTAGCAAATTTTA